TTTTCTTCTCTACACTATTCTCTATAGTCTGATAAAAATATCATAACTGACGCTATAAAAAGAAAACTACAAAACATATCTATTTGGTATTTAATCTCCTTCGAAGTAGTTCCCTTCTGAAGCCACATACTTTATCCCGCGTTGTTTCCATTAATGAAAGCATTCTTGGACCATTTTTATGAAATAGTGAACAGCTCCCTTGTCGCATTCTCTTGCCTTTCGTCGACATCTTCAAATATTGTTCCTTTCAAGTGGGGTTTAAATTTTAATGAGTAAAAAGTCGCAAAGGGGAGATTGTGGTTTTCAGAAGTGGGGAATAGTATACTTGATCAAAAACTGCTGCATAACCAATGGCCACCTACCTCAGTGATGTGACGAGAAGACCGACCACACTCTACACACATTCCTTCCAAGCGCTGCTATAAACAACTGAAGTGATCGAGCGGGTTATAACTTAGTGCGTATGCGCGACACAGTAGAAGGTCCATTTGTGCCAAGTGTTCCATTACCATATCAATAGATCCGATACTTTTTCTTTCAGATCTCGTATTGTTATGTGAAGAACATTATCGGTTAGTCCGTATACAAATTTTGTTTACTTCTTGTTGTATATATTTAAGAAGCTGTATTTAATCAATTTTCGGTTATCCAATGGGGATTGAACACAATGCATCATGTGTAATTTTCTCCCTATGCACTTCTCTATCACAATATGCCTCCATCTTGTTATATATCAAATACAGACTTTAAAAAAATGGATTAAATTAATGTAACATAACGCATTCCATTAAATATTTTAATAATTTATAAGTGTTATGGTAATTTACCCACGCAAGCATGAACTCTCGCAGCTATAAATAAGAGCAGGTCCTGCCTTTTTGGAGAGGGAAGTTTCCAGCATTCAGCTCTGACGGTCCGACCGAATATTCTTGCCGTAACACGCTCGTTTGTATATGTTTGTATTACTGTTTCTGTTAATATATTTGCTCAACTTAATTCCTCTCTTTATGTCTTTATTTCCGGCCCTAACAAGGCCACAGCAATAAGCTTTAAAAAAACGCTTGTTTTCAAATTATTATTAAGAGTAAATTCTGCTCTTTACGAGTTAATCAAATGGCAGCGCTTGTATCAGAACTTACTTCACCCAAATTATGAATGTTAACAGACACGTTATTTTATAAGATTTTGTTTGCTACATTTTATTAAAGGAGTTAGAGATCAAATCCTGATAAAAGCGTTCTCTTATTTTAATTTGTCAGAAGAAATCTCACAATCTATAATATAAAATTTAAAAATCACTGTTTATGAACATGTTTCATTGTAACCATAATACAAAATAGCGTGATTATCATTAGAGCGAGGCCGTAAAAGTGCCTACAAACATGAAGTATAGAGCAATTTTTCATCCAACTTGCAACTTAATAATAACATGTCTGCACTCCCGCTCATACCGATAATTATGATCCGAATTTTGTATGTATGCATGTTACAAATAACATCATCATTGAAACAGGATAAGAAATGCGAGGATTACTTGTTGCTATTTAATAATTATGATATCTGGGAATAATAAATCAAAAATGTATCAAGCATCTGGCCCTGATCGACGTGAGTAAAGTTCAAGTGACTTGTCTGATTAACCATCAGCCAAGTCACTTAAACTTTACCTGTTGAATATTAAAGCTATTTCGTAAATTCTCGTAATTTTTCGGTTGTATTATTATTATTTTATAAATAACTAGCAGTAGAGTCCGGCGTTGCCCGGGGATGTAACAGTAAGAGATAGATCAAGTATCGACCATCATAAAGACTGAAAAATAAAATTAACAAAGATTATTGTTTAAGATTGACGGACACGCTTGTCTTAATTAGTTTTTTTTACGAATTGGTCAAACACAAACTCAAATAAAAACATTGTTTTCAATCGTTATGAGTCTACCGATTGAATATGAATTTTATTATAAACAATTGTCTTGTAAATGGAATTTTTAAAACATTCTGAATGTAAAAATAAAGAAAAAGTGTGCAAGACAATAAGAAACACTACCTGCCAAAAACAAATGAAGTTTTGTTGAAATCGGTTGAAAAATGTAGGAAATCCGATCCAATATATAAACGAACACACACACACACAAACAATCTGGGTTTTATAATAAGTATAACTCGATATGAGTTGTCCCCCTTTCATTCTCGCGATGCCTCTTAATCGTGTTTTCAAATTGATTTTGTGCAAAAACAATTGTGTTTTTCCAATTTTTGGCACTGTCAGAACCGCCGCAAGGTAATGTTACATAGTCCTGTGAAGTTTTGTTGAAATCGGTTGAAAAATGTAGGAAATCCGATCCAATATATAAACGTACAGACACACACACAACCTGGGTTTTATAATAAGTATGATTATACATTTTATAAATAGAAAGCGATTAGATATCCAAATTAAGTACGGCCTTCAGAGATCTTTATCAGAATATTTGAAAAATATTGCTTTGTACAAGATTGATCTGTTTTAAGGGTTATCAACCGTTTTGAATGGTATTTAAAGCCAGAAAATGTTCTTTGTAATATTTTTTGAGATAAAGATTTTATATATACAGGCCCTACTATTTAATCCATATCTAGTGGTGAAGAGGTAGCTTCATACCTTTCCCAATAGTATTTACGTATAAGTGAATATGACGAACCCTACTAGAAATGGAACTTGGATTTTCAATTTCCAAATCCGAACCATTATCCATTAAAGCGCCTTATATTCCCAAGCGCTCACCCAATTAGGTACTGACCAGGGGTTAATTTGCAGTGTAACACCCGCACTCAGTTCGCATCAAAAATTTCCAGAATATTTACATTTATGTGCAATTGTACATGCTCCATTCGAAACTGTCTTGATACATTTGATAAAATCTACCATTTTGGAGTTATCGACAGTGAAAGTTTGGATTCATTTACGTCGGAGGCAGCTATTGCTGGCGTTGTTTGTATACGTTCGTTGCAGAATAGCTATCGGTGTAGGCATCATTGCGCAAACCGAGCGTGTCTACGCAAATAGTTCTCGTGCGCAGTAATTGAGGCAAATTTAGACAAGAAAGATCAGTTCTGAGCTTAGCTTTCCGTAGTCTTCCGCGTTTAGCATTCTGCAACGAATGTATGCAAACAAAGCGAATAAAGTCGCGACTGAATCCCAAATTTCACTGTTGATAACTCCAAAACGGTAGATTTTATCAAATTTATCAAGCCAGATTCGAATGGAGCATGTACAATTACACGTAAATGTAAGTATTTTGGAAATTTTTAATGTAAATTGAGTGCGGGTGTTACACTGCAAATTAACCCTGACCAGTTTCGATATTGATTGATTTCGGTGATCGGATGGATGCGAACTAGTGTTTCGACGTCATAGGGGCGTCAGCTGGCTTTGTACACGAACGGGAGATTATATTGAAGATTAAACATGAGATTTTACTGAAAATTAAGGAGTATTTGATCATTTATTTTTTGTTTTTTTTTGTTTTCTACTTCACAGTTTTCCCGCGTCTTACAAACCATTTAATACACCTCTGGTAACCACTTCATCAGGAAATAAAGAATGTCATTTTTATCGATTTTATTTTATTCTATTTATTTATATTTTTAATTTTTTGTCGAAGCTATGTCGTGACGAAAGTTTCCTTCGTTTTTGAACAACACTTCGTAAGCCTTTGTTACATGTGACTGATGACGTCAGTAAACTGCTCATATAACTTCGACAATGGAAGAAGTGTTGAATGGCTTTCTCTTTTTTTTCTTTTATTTCACATGACTATGATCACGTAAAGTACTGCAGATTTTCAAGTGCACTAAATTGCTTTCCAACCAAACACTCCAACATAAACCAACCTCTCCAGTAGATGCAGTTAAAATTAGCAAACGTCTAATGCGAATTCTTATTCTCTTATTTTTTTTATTCTCTTATTCTCACTCCTATGTTTCCAAGCACATACACACGAACAACGGCGGCTACACTTACTTGACGACAAACATACACTACACGTTTATTTAGCTTGCAATATCTGCCGCCATGTTTTATACTCTCTTTTTCTTCTTCACTCTTTCTCAGTCTCTCTCTCTCACTTGCTCTTTTGAAAGTCTACTCTTTCGATCTCTTTTTGCTCCTCTCTGTTTCACCATCTCTCTCCACATCCTCTCTCTCTCTATCTCTTTCTTTTGGAATGTCTACCGCCTCGTCTTTCTTTCTCTTTTCACTACTTTCTTTCTATCTCTCTCTCTCTCTCTCTCTATATATATATATATATATATATATATATATATATATGTCTATCTATCTATCTTGATTTTTTCAACATCTACTGCTTAGTATCTCTTTTTTTATCTCTCTTTCCTTTCTCTCTCTCTCTCTCTCTCTCTCTCTCTCTCTCTCTCTTTGTATCTATCTCTCTCCATTCCTCTTTTGCTGGACTTTCTCTCTCCTTTGTTCTCTTTCTCTCCCCCTCTCTCCTTCCCTTTCTTTCTCTCTCTATCTCTCTTGCTCCTTTGAAATGTCTATTGTCTGGTCTTTCTTTCTCTTTTCCTTTCTTCTGTTTCCTCTCTCTCTCTCTCTGTTTGTCTTTGTCTCTGTTTCTCTCTCTTGAAATGTCTGCGAACTAGTCTTTCTCTCTCCCCCCTCCCTCTCTCTCTCTCTCTCTCTATCTATCTATCTATCTATCTCTCGCTCGTTTGCAATCTCTATAGCCTGGTCTTACTCTTTCCCTCCCTTATCTCTCTCTCTCTCTCTCTCCTCTTTCTTTCCTTCTCTTCCTCTTTTATACACACACACACAAAGAAACAGACAGAAACACACATACGGTTCGTTTGTCCCTGTACAGACGAATGTTCATCTAAGAGAACCCACAGTGCCGCGTTCATATCAGTGCCCAGGTGAAAATTTGGGTAGACAGCCAGTTAACTTCTATTATCCCAGGCGCATCACAGACAGAAGAAGTCTGCGAGTCTCTGAGATGCAGAGCTCAAAGAATCTCGTCATTTCGCCATTGGCAGAATGGAAAGTCGTAAGGTGATGAGTGGGAGATACTCGGTGGAGGTGTTAGGGGTTGGGTGAGCAACGACAGAATAAAATAAATAAAATAAAATAAGTTCAAGAAGAACGAACGGAAGAAAGAAAACGAAAGCTTAATACGAAATGAATAAACTCCAGCAAAAAAGGGCAGCACGATTCGTACTAAAAAAAAGTATTCAAAAAAGAAAGAAAGAAAGATGGAATAGAAAACTGAAACAGATAGGAATTTAGGAAGAAAGAACAACAGAAAAAGAGATAGAACGGCAGCAACTCTAAAAGAAAGAAAGAAAGAAAGAAAGAAAGAAAGAAAGAAAGAAAGAAAAACATAATATATATGAAGCGAGAATGAAAGAAAAGAAGAAAGTCTAAAGAATGTGTGAAAGTCTAAGAAAGAAAGAAAGAAAGAAAGAAAGAAAGAAAGAAAAGATCGTAATTGCTGGAAAAATAAAGAAAAATGTGGTCGAAAATAAGGGTGGACAAATATAATGTTAAAAAGGAAAACAATGAGAGAAAGAAAGAAAAATAAGAAAGTAGGTTAGTGTAAGAAAGAAAGAAAGAAAGAAAGAAAGAAAGAAAGAAAGAAAGAAAGAAAGAAAGTGTGAGTCCAGTTAAAAAAGAACGTTAGAGAATGTTACAAGGATAGAAAGTTAAAGAGTGAAAGAAAGCTGAAAAAGAAAAAGGTTAAAGGAAGAATGGTAGGAAAATGTCACGAAGGCAAAGCAATGAAGAAAGAAAAAAAAAACAGAAATGCGAGAGAATAAGAAAAAGAAAAAGAAAGAGATTCAAACAAAATAAAGAAAATTTTGAATAAAAGAAAAAAGTTGTATCAGAAAATGAAGAACGATAAGGAAGAAAGAAAATGAAGAAAATATGTGAGGAAAGAAAAATGTAAAAAAAAAAGAATAAGAAAATGGAAAATGTTTGAACAAAATGAAAAAGAAGAAAAAGGCTCGAAGAAAAAGAAAAATGAAAAAAAGATAAAGAAGGAAAAAACGCTAAGAATTAAGAAATGAAGAAAGACTATGCGAAAAAAAGAAGAAAAAATCCCCCAGGAAGGAAGACAAAATAAAGGCGCAAACAAAAACAAGAAACAATGCAAAGACAAATATTCAAAGAAAGAAAAAATGAAAAAAAAATATGTGAACAAAAAAGAACAGCTTAGGAAAAGAAAAAAAATGAGGGAAAGAACAAGGCGAGAAGAGAAAAGAAAAAGAAGAAATATATACAAAACAAGACATAAAAAAAGTAATACGTGCGAAACAATAAGGAAAATACTCTCAGCTAGAAAGACGAAAAGAAAAAAACGAAGAAAACAGGCGGAAATAAGAAAAAAAAATGGATGCGCAAACAGTCTCTCGACACTCGTTAGGAAGCAATCTTTTGCAAATTTACTGCGCACGAAGTCGAAAATGAAATCAACCTTGATGGGTGACTGAGCCGATTTTTGTCTTTGCTAATATCAAAGACAGAGAGAAAGTGTGGAGGAGAGTAAGGCGAATATGTAAGGAGAGTAAGATAGAGGAGAGCAAGGTGAATAGGTAGGGAGAGCAAGGTGGAGGAGAGCAAGGGTTAGAGTGAAGTGTGACGATGCGAACGGGGGCGATAAGGGAAGAAGAACGTTTCAGTTCATATTGAAACATTGCTTCGCGGGCCGTCCTGCCTGACGATGTCACGCCAAAAATGACAGCGGAAATTAGATTTCTGTTCTTCACTGCCGAAAAGAATTAGATTCTAATTTGCATATTCTAATTCTTCACACGCCTTTACAAAAAGAATCTTCTAGCTTTTCTTTTCTTTTTTCAATGCTTATTTTTTTAGCTTTTTTTTTTTTGTATTCAAAAAGATGAGATTCCTAGAATTTTTTTCAAAGTTACAAATTTATTGGTATTTTCGACTTGTTTTATGTCCTCCCTACCTTTCCTTTTTAAACGTTATTTACCGCCAATTAATTCAACAAATAGGTTCGATTTCTTTGTGTGACCATTTGAGGCGTCCGACTAGTCAGCTTCCAGAATTCACCTACTTACTCAAACATGATCTTATTTTCAACCCGTTACCAAACTTCTGGTATGAAATTACACTAAATTAACATTAGTCAGACTGTGATAAAAATTTCTATTCGCACATTATTTGATTTCTCTGATTAATAGATGTACTATGTTAGTCCTGTACTAGCAGTTTCTTCTCTCGCAATTCTAACTGATGGAGATCTCATCCATCTTCTTGCGTTCCTCTAAGATCGTAATCTTCAAAAATTGAAACGCAACCGTCACTCGTCATCTTACATCTCATTAAATCCTCTTTTATTTGCCTCGATGTTCCTTTCACTCTCAGTAACCCCTTGCGTCTTAGTGACTTTGATCGCCTTGCATGATGGGAAATGATTTTTTTACTACCAGCTAGAGACCGGAAATGTAAAAATCCTAAATGACCGGATGTGACATAGAAAGGCCCGAAAGTTCGAATCCTAGTGACTTTGATCGCCTTGCATGATGGGAAATGTTTTTTTTACTACCAGCTAGAGACTGAAAATGTAAAAATCCTAAATGACCGGATGTGAGATAGAAAGGCCCGAAGGTTCGAATCCTAGTGACTTTGATCGCCTTGCATGATGGGAAATGATTTTTTTACTACCAGCTAGAGACCGAAAATGTAAAAATCCTAAATAACCGGATATGACATAAAAAGGACCGAAGGTTCGAATCCTAATGGAGAGCGCATATTTTTTTTTAATAAGCCGGTGGACGAACATAAATAAAGGTATTTATATGTAATTTCTTGTATGATATAGCGATATATAAAATCTAATTGAGAACTATGAATTTTTATGATTGCTTTCTATTCGCCATCCTACTCCATCTTTTTGTCGTATTAAGGTGTTATTTTATTACGGATATGATAAGTAAGATGGAGTAGCGGTTCGAATTGAAGAATCGGAGAGCCGAGTTCGAATTCTAGTCGGATCCATTGCATTCGCTTACGTGGTAATACCCTTGGGAAAGGTATGAATCCTCTTCTTCTCCTTACCCAGTAATGAGAAAATAGCAGGACAGTAGAACCCAGATAGAATCCAGCTCCTACAACCCAAATCTTGCGTTTAAATTTTTGAAGATCGTAGATTAGAGGAACGCAAGAAGATGGAAGAGACCTTGTTGAATTAATTGGCGGTAAATAATGTTTAAAGGGGAAAAGTAGGGGAGGACATAAAAAAAGTCGAAAATAGGAGAAGGTCACTCTGAACTCAAACCGGCCTGGAGAGATTTGGGCTCTGTCAGGCTATCTTGCCCGAGAAACACCAATTTTACTGTGGCTCCAGTATGCATTCTGCCCCTACCACCCCACGGCTTACGGGATAATACATACATATATATATATATATATATATATATATATATATATATATATATATATATAAGCTTGAGTGGCAACCGGTCTAGGAGAAGGAAAAACCGGTCTGGAGAGAGTTGGGCTCTGTCAGGCTATCTGGCCCAAGAAACACCACTTCTACTGCGGCTGCAGTACGCATTCTGCCCCTACGGGTCACGTGATAAAGAATATATTATAGATATACTAATACCTATAATGGGAAAAAAACTGGAAATATACACTCTTTCTAAGACCCCACCCCCACCCCGCCATTATCAGTTTTCAATGATGACTTAATGTTTTCACAATAAAATTGCTATTAACCAATCAATGTTGATAAAATTTGGTAGAGGGGGATATATTATTTATATGAGAAATATACCGTGTGTGTTTCAGTTAATCATGACTAATAAATATTGATAATAAATTATTTGAGGAGTGTTAGGCTTTATGCAAAGAGTAACATATTCTTTTATTCATAAATAAATTCAAAAGAGACGAGGTCTGATAAAAAATATCGGGACTAGTGCTATAAAAAGAAAACTACAACAGATATCAATCAGACATTTAATCTCCTTCGAAGCAGTCCCCTTCTGAAGCCACACAATTTATCCATCGTCGTTTCCAATAATGGAACTTCATTTTGGGGATAGCGAGCGGCTGCCTCATCGCATTCACTTGGATTTCCTCGGCGTCTTCAAATCTTACTCTTTTCAAGTGGGATTTGATTTTTGAAAAGGAGAAAGATGCAAGGGGCGAAATCTGGGTTGTCTGAACTGGGGAATGGTTTGATTGGCCAAAAACCGCTGCACAAGCAATGGTCACTGATGAAACCTCAGTGGTGTGGTGACACTACCACACTCTACACACTTTCCTTTTTAGCAATGGTATAAACAATGGAAGTGAGTGAGAATGTTATAACTTAATTTGTATGTGCAGCAAAGAACAAAGCCAATCTGTGCCAAACAGCTTCTCTCTACATACTTTAGCTCCGTTAACATAGCAACAGTCCGATAATTTTTGATCAGGCATCGTATAGAGAAATATATTTGATTATATGTCCCATATACACACTTGTGCAAATTAATTGAAACAACCGCTTTAGTTTCCTTTCTTTCACCTTACGGCCAGCTTTAGACACCCTGAAGTGACAGGGTGTAATCGATTTCTATTTTTTCCTCACATTAGGTCATTTGAAATGGTGTGCAGTATTAGATTCTTAAATTTAGATTGTATTTTCTGGGCGTATGATAAAATTTGTTTTGCCTTTAAAAACATTACGTCATCCGTGATTGCATCAGACTTTCATCACGCCGAAACACTATTGTCTCGACTGTCAATTATTTGTCCTACGGTCACTGTCTGCAATGGACGTTACACCAGGGAAGCGTTCGAAAATTGTAATGATGCACGAACACACTGGAAAGTCTTACCAATGAGCAAATCAAAGTACTACAGACTGTCCCAGAAACTCTTCTGATTTAAATCCAATCGAAAATCTATGGTGAATCCGCAATGAATGACTTTGTAGAATAGACATACGAAGTGGTAACTTGTGCACTGGGTAATGTTTGATTGGAAAAAAAAAACGAAAAAAAGTAAGTAATAACAGAATTATTCGTTTTGTTCCAATTAATTTCCACAAGGGTGTACTTATTAATTTAAACTGATACGTCTTAAAATACTAATTAATATTCTTATCTTTCATATGCCTCAATTATCTCACATGTTAATCTAGGCACATTGATATCCTATAACCTTCATTAGTCTTTCAAACTTGAGTTTGGTAACTTTTTTATTTCAACTTTAGCATTATTTGCAAAAGATTTCTTGCTTCTCGGAGATATTCTTTGAATATTGTTTTCCATTGTTATATTTTTCTTCCAACTATTTATTATTATTAAACTCAGTATCCATTAATGCCTTACGGCCATATCACATTAAAACACCAGTTCTTATATGATCACCGTAGTTAAGCAATATCGAGCCTGCTCAGTCCCTAGATGGGTGACCATATGTGAATACCATATACTGTAAGTTTGGATGTGCGGGTGGTGTAATGGATAATGGCTCGGGAATGTTAGCCGAGTTATATTCACTTACGCGTAAATCCCCTTTGGAAAGGCATGAATCCACCTATTCCTACCAGTAAGACTAGAATTACTCAATCATTATTATCACCAAAACAAATTCTTACAATATAAAATCATTTTCTTAAATAACCTAAAAGACTTGATAAGCCGTAGAAAACAAATCAAAGAATAAAAAAAACAACATCCATTAGACTAAAATGAGGAAATAAAGAGGGGGTTAAAATATAACAAAAACCGCCGGTAGCAAGGAGAAAACAAGAACAATCGAGCTTTTAAGACAGTGGAAGAGGCGCATACTACAAGTTACTCTCTGCTAATATACCGGGTGTAATAGCAAAATTGTTCAAATCGTGTAACAGCAAAATTGTCCAATTTTTAGATTAAGCTTGTTGTGTCTTAGAAAATGATTTAAGATATCATACTGCAATTCTCTAAGTTTTTTATAACACTATTGGACTCTACTTTGAGCGATAAGAATGTATGATTACTCTCTAAGCTTAACAGAAGAATTGTGATAAAATCGATCATAAATGAAAATTACATGTTCATTATTTATTAATCATAGATAAGGACCGGAAGCTCAACAAGGATCGATATAAAGTTCATATATATATATATATATATATATATATATATATATATATATATATATATATACACGTTTCATTAAATAATATAGACAAGTGTTGTCAATTTATTTTATGTAAATTTTGTTCGTAACATCTGATAAGTTTGATAACATTATCATTAAACGAAGAAAGAAATTCACAATATTGATCCATATTTTTTTAATATAATCTAAGCTTTCGGCTTACTTAAGCCATTATCAAAGATGTAAATTACAAACATATTAAACAATATACGGACACGACAGTGATGATAGTCTGTCATTGTTTACATAGATAATCTCTAAGCAACGATAAACACGCGCATATAAGACGCTAGAAGCGAAAATCGCACCGCATCTCATGACGTCACACATGACTACACGAGAGTGAATTGTAGAATGAAGTAAGGAAAGCCGTTGGTATAAACCAATGGCTTCTGTTACCAATTATAGACATTTAAGAATATTTGTAGAGATGCCATAATTGTTTGATGTATAATGCTTCAAGTATTTTTAGTTTTTGTCTATTGTTTTCATGTCGAAGTATAGTTGTGTTTTCGATAAGTATTTTACGGAATTGTGTGTGCGGGCAGGCATGTTGTTTTAAATGACTAAAAATGTTAGAGTTTTCATTAAAATGTAGTGTCAAGCGTCGTGAAAGCGAGTTTGTGGTGTGACCAACATAAATATTATTTAATTCGTTGGAGATACACTCTCCCAAAGGGCACTTGAATTTATAAACTATGTTGGTTTTTTGCAAATCGCTAACCGGGGGAGAAGAATCATTGCGAAGTATTAAGTTGGATATATATATTCTAGGATCAATTTCAAACTTATTCAATATTATCTTCGCCCTTTCTAACATTCTAACTTTCTGTCCTGGAGTTTCACGTATGATTTCCTTTTTCAATTATTTTTTCACTGCCCCTTGGACTATCATTGCTGAAACTCCTCTCTCACGTGCTAAATGTCTTATGAATTGAGTTGGATCTATTCCAATTGGTATCTTTAGCTCTAAGTTGAAATGATGATCTCTCTTCCTGTGGTGACCTCCTGGTCAAGCTTTCCTCTTTAGTGTTTCCTCTTTTTAAAATTCATTCGCCGTTCTCTTGATGGTTCTTGAATGCAGAGTATGAATGTCGTTACCATTAGTGAAGGGCTGAATGATCTTTTTCTGTGACTATTGCTCAGTTGGGAAGACAGTGAGACTGATACAAACTATTTTAACGTGTTCATTTTCGAGCTGAATAACTCAAATGGGTTTTCAGTGATTCTTACGGCAAATGGAGTCAAGATGGCAAAACGTCGTATCTGAAAGCCTGTAAAAAGAAACTCAATTAGTTTAGTGGTTTTTTAGACATTTTGTGGGATGGATAATTATGCTGTTACACAATTTGGACAATTTGCTGCTACACTCTGTATAGCAAGATGTATTTTGATTTCCTTTTTGAAGACGTCTATAGTCTTAACATTGACTATGATTCACTATTTAACTACCGGTTTTGATATAAAAAAAAACATTTTTTATGTTCAAACGAAACAGCTGCGGTTGAAGTTTTAGTGGATATACTAAGATGTATTTTTACTGTTTTATAGTAAGATATCCCTCGAAACCTACACCCCTGTGTCAATTAATTGAAACAACACGAATAATTCCGTTATTATTTAGATTTTTTTTTTTTTTTTTTCGTATTTTTCCAATGAAACATAACCCAGTGCTTGCCGGTGTGTTTCTGCAGCTTTACAATTTTCGTACGCCTCCTGGGAGTAACGTCCATCTCAGACAATGGTCGTAGAACAACTAATTGACAGTTGAGACAATAGGGTCAGGGTGTGATAAAAATCTGATGCAATCACGGATGACGCAATATTTTTCAAGGACAAACAAATATCATCATACACTCTGAAAATAGATTTATATTACTGCACACCACTGCAAATGACCTAATCTGAGGAAAAACTGAAATCGATTACACACTGTCACTCCAGGGGGATTAAAACTGACCCTATTGTGAAAGAAAAGAAACTAATTTGCACAATGGTGCATGCCATCAATTGAATTTCCTATTCAAAATAGCAATATTAAATCACGTCTAAGACGTTCAGTTTCGAAAGTAAGAAAAGGCCAAGGCTTTTAAAAGAGTCTTTTTAATTACAGCAATCATTTTCGTAAAACGTTTTCGCAATTTTTCTAACTGTTGTAGACCGCTCGGTAATATAATATGATGTAAGCTTGGATGCACGGCTGGTGTAATGGATAACGTCTCAAAATATAAAATTGGAAATTCCAGTCGATTCCCTTATATTAACCTACGTGTAAATATCTTTGTGAAGGAAATGAATCCAACTCTGCTCCTTCTAGCTATGGGTTAAATTGTAGGACTTGTATCTGAAAAACATTATTATCTCTAAAATTTGTTTATCCAGTATTCACCCGCCAAAACATATTCTTAGAATCCCCAAATATCTTTTGGCTTTAAATTACCTACGAAAAGGTTAATAAGCCGTAAAAACCAAATCAAGCAATAAATCTATTGTATATCACGCTCTGCGTAAGGCAACGAAACACAGAAAGTATAGACTAAGATAGGACAGACATTCGGTAAATAAAGCTTCAAGATCTTTTCTTTACGTTTTGTGATAAAGGTTATTTGTATTTTCCGCGGTGGTCTTTATTTTGAATATAGCTGCAGTGAATTGAACACTTTATCTTTGGAGGACTTAATTATTCACAAAACTTTATCTTTGATATTATTATGTATGGCATGTTCACCAAGAGTTTCTTGAAATTTCGGATTTTATCTGCCTAGATGCATAACAGCACATTTGACAAAGTTAAATCTTAAAAGCCATTTCATTATGCGGACATATAATGCATCCAGATCGTTCTGAAGAATACGTTGAACATGTAAAAATTTGATGTTTGGAAACTAACGTAAACATATACACGCCTTTTAATAATAGCCAACAAGTTTTCTATTGACTTTGGGGCCATTCTATTGTTCTTGAAATCAATTTTGGATAAGCTGAGCAATCGTCAGCTACAATGAATGTCAAACTTCACCCAAAATTAAAAAAAAAAGAAAATTGCATCACGTCTCTGCAATTATCTTGACCCCAATCATCAATTCTAAAGGAACCCTAATTTTACAACCTACAATACTCCCCCCCGCCAAATATTACTCTGCATCGCCTGGTTATATTCTATGTTTTTATTTATTAGCAGCCATACCCAGCTGGTCGATCAGAAAAAGCATTATATTAGAATGGAGTAAAAACGGCATCGTGTTTAGATGTAACAGAGTATATCTTCTTCAATTACTTTAAAGTACTTTCAATAAAAAAACATTTGGAATTAATGCAGTTACTGATATAACAGAAGTAGTCTGTATTTATTCAATCAAAGTTAGCCGAGGACATGAAGGGGTAAAACAGGAAACATGAAAACCCACTTCAGACAATTATTTTGGAGTTTTTGAAATTCATTTTAGCAATGTGCTACCAGCAATGTAAAAGAGGATACATATATAAAGCAATTAAGTTTGATGAAATTTGGTTGAAAGATCAATGAAAAATAGGAAAGAAACCAGTAAAAATCGCCATTTTTCGCTATTTACGCGGATTTTCACTATATGAGTGGACACAATTATCAAGCTAAATGACTGTTAAAAAAGTCAACTTATTGTTATCTACAATTCAGTGAAGTTTGTATTAGATTGCTTGAAAATTGAGGGAGTTTTAGTTTAAAAATTGTGTTGAAATCAATTTTTCGTTTTTCGCGGTTTTTCGCTAAACGCAATGGCGCAGAAATAAAAATGAGGTATCTTTGAGGTCGTCATCATGTAAGTAACCTACATAAAGAGTTTGAACAAAATCCCAGAAAAAAAGTTGAATTTATCGATTTTTGATCGACTTTAGAGATTTTTATTTTTTTTTAAATTATCGATTTTTTACGCTAAGAACCTATCTCTTACATTGTACAATGTATGTGCCAAGGTTGATCATAATCGGTTGGATGGATCTCGAATGCAAAGGTATCAAACAGATAAACACGCACACAGACATCCTCTGTTTTATATATAGAGATTTCCATGAAGGATCCAATATTTAGCTCAGTTATCAAGTCCATCCAATGTAGCTCTATATTCATCATTAAAATTACTGTTGATAAATTAGTTTTCATGTAACTCTTCACCCAATTTATACATTTCTCTTTGTAACGTTTATTTAAAAGGTTTATTTCTGTTGCTTACATTTTTAACATTCGGCATCTTTTCTCTCTATTTAAATTCAATTTAAATTTAAATTTGTGTTTTACGGCTTATCAACCCTTTATCGTTTATTTCATACCGAACTAAATTGTATAATTCTGTAATTCTAACTCGACTCTCGGATTTCTTATTCTGGGCCGCAATCCATTACACCACCCGCACATCCTGTTAGGTGTGGCACCTTGCATTATTAGAAATATTCATAGAAATATGATTAAATTTTTTTTACTCGGTTTATTAACCAGTTGTTAGTTTTTTTCTTAGACGAAGAATAATTGAGTTGAAAATAATTCACTAAGTTGTACTTAGACGATCCTAAAAGAAAAAAAAAGAGAGGAAAGAAAAGGAAGGAACAGGGAAGAAAAGAGAGGTCGAGAAATACAAATTATTAGCGAAAACAGGTATCAGAAAGGTATTTAGGCCAACATCTTGACCGATTTTCGAGACAATGGAAAAATGTTATTTAGAAGGAAAGTCATTTAGAGGGAGAAAGGATAAGCGTATAGGCGATTGATAAAAAATGTCGGTCGGAGCACATGACCGACTTTTTGCGTAGAGAGACTCATTATCAATTTGGAGAAAGGGAATTTTTAGAACAATGAGAACGAAATTTTAATCGGAGGAAAGGTGTCTTTTGGGATGAGTGGGTGACCGCTGGAATTGTATACAGGTTCTGACCTGTTAAGGATCGAACTCCACGATGATGAAGCGAAGACATTTTCAATTCAGATAATTAAGATTTTTGTCTATCGGGTCTGAACAAATACAAAGGGGTGAAAAAGACAATTGCTTTTGGCTCACACAGGACGCCAAAAAGGCAGAAACAATCCTCCCTGAAGTCATATCTAATTAGCGGCGGCTGTTTTGACAGAACCCAGGTGAGAAAAAGCCAAGATTATCATTTTTCGTACGTGCGAAAAAGGCCAAATTAGATTTTGTTTTTTTTAGCAAGCTGGTCCTTCCCGGAGCGAGGACGGGATAGACCACGCCCGATTGGGGACGTCGCGAGGCATGGGAGACGCCCAACCAGAATCTCATTAGCCGAAAACGGTCACGTGATATGCGGGAAAGAGGAGAAAGAATGCTTGATCAAGACCCATTGGTCGAAAACGGTCACCTGACATACGAGAGACCGGGAGAGATGGGTGTGCGCCTCCCCACCAAAGGCACTGTGAGGAAGTAGGGGTGAAAATAATAGCGATAATGGGAAAACAGAAATAATGCGGCTATTGGAATTATCGAGAAACCCCTTACGCCGACAAACCCACCTCGGTTTGTTGCGGCGTCAATAAAAGCAGGACCCCAGTCGACAGAAATCAGTTGCGGCTGAGTTGCGGGTTAGACGACCAGAACAGTTGGAACGCGGGCATCGGGTCCGGTTCATTCCTCCCTTGCGGCAAGAGAATCCTAAGACAAGAAATCCTTCCACCCAAGAAGAAGAAGAAGAAGATTGCTCGAAAGCCGCAGAGAAGTTGCAGCCGAGTCAAAGACAGGCCGAAGAGTTGCAGGCCAGACAAGAAGTAAAGTTGCAGACCAAACAAGCAAATCAGTTCCACCTCAGTCGACAGAAAAGAGTTGCTGGACGGAAGAAGAAGAAGTTGAAATCAAGCCAAGCCCGAGATCAGAATTCGACCAAACCAGATCGAAGTGAAGAAATACAACTCAAGCCGAAGAGAAGAATCAGCTGCAAACGACTGATAGAGATTAGCCCCAGTGTCGAACTAAACCACACTCCGACATACACAATTCTAAAGAGTAGACAACTCGAAATCTTTAAGTTGTATGATAGAAGCTTGGTGCCATAGTCCACAAAGCGGGTCGGGAAATAAGAACAATTTTTATGTAACGGACATTAGATATAAAAGGTTGTTACCCTTTTTTTATCAGTAATTTTTTGTCTCGTGAGTTTTTTTCTTTTACTTGTGTTTTGCCACCCCCGTCGGACACAACTTGCATACGGCCCAATCCCTGCTGGTCCCGTCTGTCTAAGATCTAAACACAACGTGGGTAGACAGACCGGAGATCAGTACAGTTGCTTTAGCAACCAGGTATTGGAAGCGGGTTGGGAAAGGCGAGGCTGGTGATCATCTAACCAAGGGGTTGGAACGGCACACTTGGAACAGCGAAGAGCGACCAGGAGGAGCGACGTCACAGTTGGCGCCGTAACCAAAGGATTCGAACCTGGGCCAGGTGTGTACCCGTCACATAGGGGAGGGTTTTTTGGGGGTTTTTTTTACCTTTTTGTTTTATTTTATTCAATGTTCCTGAGGAATTCAAAAAAGCGATATTTATTATTCGAATCAGGCCAAATTCTTTGGAGAAATAGTTGACGATATATTGGAGTCACAATTTGATGGTTGAGGTGTGTCGACCTCACATTAGGAATTATCACGTATTCGATAATTATGCTTGAGTCGCGTTAACTCCAATGTCAGTTTACTGATTCGTTTCACACGACGAAGTAAAACGCGCAAAAATTCAGCCGGTATCTTAATACCCGCTCGGCCCGGTGGCTAGGATCAAAGTGTAGTATCTGCGCTTTGTGAGCTGCCGAGCCGGGTGTCTGTCGAACTCTCTGCTTGCAGAGGGGAACCCGGACGAAGCTCCGCCGAAGGGTGGGGTTTCGTTCGGGGAGGTTGACGGAACTAGCCCGCTTGGACGGGTTTAGATGGGTTTTATTTTTGGCTGGGCCTACGGGCTCAGACATACCCACATTAAAAAGGCCTTGTGCCACATTCAATTCCTGTGGGTGAATTGATAAATACCATCTTAATACGGCACTTGCCAGCATATATAATTCATTTTCACAGGGAAAAAAAATTCTTCGCTCAACCCTAAAAAGGAAATTGTTTTTAAATAACAAAAATCTTTTATTTATAACGCTTTTATTTGTAACCATTAAACTCGAAATCGAGTCATTTCTTATCTATAGAATTTGTTTATTATTGCACGTAAGGGGAGACAACTCTTTAATTAGCCGAACTTCAGCTACATTTATAATTTAAAGTAAGGCTTATTTGTAGTCATATTCCTTAACCATTTCAGCACTTCGTTCTTGAACAATTTTAACTCTTCTGCCTGCGTTCCTGGGTGAAAATTCGCAAATAATTTATATGTAATGTTTCATGGTAGATATAACTATAGTTACAATTGTGTTATAGTGGAACACACCTATTCTATAGTTAATAGACTCTCCCGCCTATAATAAGTAGGAGTAGTAAGAGTAACGAGTCAGTCGCTCAGTGGTTCGGTCAGTCAGTCGATGCCGGACGACCGTTAGTCGAATACTAAAGTATCAGCGACCACAACTAGATTTCTCTGCGTCATTAACTATTATATCAAGTTTCTAACGTTTTGTACGTCGAACCTATTTTAGGACCGACTTAGTACAAATACAAGCCTCCACTCCATAACGCACTTGGCGACGAGGATGAGATCTAAGTGTGTTAGTCCTACTTATTATAGGTGGGAGAGTCTATTAAGTATAGAATAGGTGTGTTCCACTATAACAAAGTGTTTGCCAGCTGTTCAACCGATGGATAGGCATCACGTTATTGTTCTGTACCTCCGGTAAATCGGTGGTCAGGGATCAAAGGGTTAATCAGCATTAATCTATTCTTTAATTTTATTTTATCATACCCGATTATAATTTAGAAAGATTATTTTTATTACGTCAAAATCAAAATATATATATATATATATATATATATATATATATATATATATATATATATATATTCGTAACATTTAATTTAAAAGAGGGCTCAGTACAAAGTAGAGCAATATTCTTTATTTTATGTCAAAAAACGCTACACAATTGCCGTTGTGTTTCGATGCGAATCAACGCATCTCATCAGGCGATTGTAAATAACTGGTCAATTGTGTAACATTTTTTGACATGTTTTTGATGTAATATCCTAAAATAAAGAATGAATAGGCATATATATATATGTATATATATATATATATATATATATGATAAAAATATAATTTTAAAGTATGCTATATTTATGGGTGAAAGTGCTCAATATCAGAGATAGACAGTGTGGCCAGGTATTTGCTGTTTATTGTGTTGTCTTTGATGTATACAATGTTATATTGAACAGCTAACATCCGAACACACATGGTCTGAAGATTGCGTTCAAGCATGAAATAAAATGACGCCACTCGATGTTGAGCTCAGTGTCATTCTTATAATTACACACGCTCTTATATTTATATATACAGATAGATAGATAGATAGATAGATAGATAAGTATAGACTGTGATAGACACACATATGAACCGAGATAGATAGATAGATAGATAGATAGATAGATAGATAGATAGATAGATAGATAATTACGTAATTAATTGCCTTAACATCGCTATTAATTTATACAATTTTGACTCGCTCGGCAATGTTTATTGCTTTAAAAAGTGATGATTAGCATTTTAATTAAACCCAAACATAAGTTTTTAAGTCATTTCGCCCCAAGCAAGGCAATAAAGCCACTAAGACGCAAGGATGTTACTGAATGTGAGTCAATATGAGAAATAAAAAATGTGAATTTGTAAATTTTCGTTATTCTTGAGAATTGACAACAAAGTTATCAAATACTATTTATTAATTAGATTGTTTATTTACAAGAATAATTTTATACCCGGAAAAATATATGTTTATCCAAATTTTCTTGTTCTATATAGTTCGTTGATATTTTTCTAAAATTATGGATAAATGTAACTATTTTCATAGTTATTTATAAAAAGATTACTGATAAATACTTTATTCTATATGGTTTACATATTATGTAAGTTTTGTAATTTTTTATAAACATTTCTTTCAAATTTATGTCTTATAGATAGATAGCTAATGACAAGACTTAGATAGATAGATAGATAGATAGATAGATAGATAGATAGATAAAAAAACATGTAATCGGTAAAGGTAGAATATAGAAACCAATTACAACAATACGAAACTTTCCAAAGAAAAGAAGAGAAAAAAAAAAGGAATTGGCCAAAACAAAAAGCAATAGTGTTCAATTTCTCTAGAATACGACAAAATCGTAACAACAACTAACATCAAGAAAGCACTCAGCGATTCCTATTTAAAATGTTGAATCCGCGTTTCACACGAAAGCAAACTTTAAACGTAACTAATCGTCTGAAGATCGCTTTAGCGCGAAACTAGGAGCCACGATTTTTGATCGGAGTCCCGAACCGTTTTTTTTTTTTTTTTTTCATTGATTTGTTTTCTTTTTAGACTTATCAAACTTTTGCAGCTTATTTAAAGCCCAAAATATTTTTAGATGGTAAGAATTGGCAGGGGGTGATAATAAAGGTTTACTGATACAATTCCTACTTATTAACCCATAGTTGGGGGTAGAAGAGGTGGATTCATAACTTTTCAAAATTATTTAAAATTAAATGAATTTAACGAACCTGACTGGACTTAGAATGCGACTCTCTAAACTCTAATTCCGAGCCGTTGTCCATTCCACTACCCGCACATCCAAGCTTACAGCTAGGTATTGACCAGGCTCGACGTTGCTTAACTTATTCGCTTCTTTGGTTTTTTATCGCATATATATATATATATATATATATATATATATATATATATATATTAAAGTAATTCATCGAGTCTAAAGGAATCCTCAACAGAATGCAGAAAGCACTGGACGGCCGTTTCGTCCTATTTTGGACTAATCAGCACTGTCCATCCACTACGGAGAATCGAACCCGATCCGTTACGATACGACGAAAGCGTTATGCATACTGGAACATCGGTGACGAAGAGGTAACTAACTATACTCGATATAGCGCCGTGGTGTAACTCATCCAAGTATACGGGTTGTGCCGCCCAAGAGCCATGTCTTCTTTCCCCAAGCAGCTCCCGCCAGAGCATTACAAGCCGGTTCAGATATATATATATATATATATATATATATATATATATGATATTCACTAACCGCCCCACGCGGTCGGATGTGGCACAAAGCCGAGTTTATTGTGGGGTATCCGTGCCCGTAAGCTCGGACAAAAATTCCCCGTAGACCCCGTAAATAACGGGGTCGGGTAGCTGTCTACCACCCCAGATGAGACTTTGCCCTTTGGCATAGCCACGTCTGGGTTCCTTTCTGCCCAAAGGCAGAGAGTTCGACAAGCACACCTCCGAAGTAATTCGGAGAGTGATATATATATATATATATATATATATATATATATGATAAAAATATAGTTTTATGGTATGTTATATTTATGAGTTAACGAGATATCAGATTTAAAGCCTCTTTAAATAACAAAAGCGGACATTGAGAGCAACACCAAGCGGCGTCAGACTGTTTCATGCTTAAGCGCAATCTTTAGGACATTTTGAATCGACTATTTATATATGTTGGTCAATGGTGCATTATGGGTAGTAGGCCTGTTGTATTATCGTAACGGTTATTAGGTGGGCTGTAACGGTTATGTTTCAAATTATTCTAGAGGCTGTTAACTATAATTGTGGGTCCGAATATAGTTGATTACAGTTTGTCAGCCACTGCCACCGAGCGGACTGGAAAATTCTATCGCATCTTTCTTAAAAAACTTTTTTACAAAGTATTTCTGGTAGTAAAACCTATTTTTACACTTTCATCGTGTTGACCCCAGTTGGGGGTTAACTATTTGCCCGTAGCTGGGGCCCTGACAGTTGCTACTATCACAGGCCTGGGTGGATCTGGAAACACCAGCAATTAAGAGTTGGTTCCACGCTCCTCAAAACCTCCTGCTCAGAAGGCTTGCTGTTGGACGTAGCTTATCATCTTACCCAAGACGCGGATGCAGTTTATCGTCTTAGCCAGGACTCGGATGTAGTTTATCGTTATACCCAGGACGGAAATAATAACAGAATTCTTCGTTTTGTTTAATTTGCACAAACTTGTAATTGGCTTAGCTTAATATCATCTATGTATATTTTCGTTTCAAACTGCCCCTTTGCTCTTAGATCTTCATTCCTCCTTTCTGTTTCGGGTGACAATTCTTGGTTTTTGGAACACTAATCTCTCTCTCTCTCTCTCTCTCTCTCTCTCTCTCTCTCTATCTATCTATCTATCTATCTATCTATCTCCCTCTCTTTCTCTCTCTCTCTATTTCTCTTTCTCTCTCCCTCTCTTTCTCTCTCCCTCTCTTTCTCTCTCTCTCCCTCTCTCTCTCTCTCTCTCTATCTCCCTCTCTTTCTCTCTCTCTATTTCTCTTTCTCTCTCCCTCTCTTTCTCTCTCTCTCCCTCTCTCTCTCTCTCTCTCTATCTCCCTCTCTTTCTCTCTCTCTCTATTTCTCTTTCTCTCTCCCTCTCTTTCTCTCTCTCTCTATCTCCCTCTCTTTCTCTCTCCCTCTCTTTCTCTCTCCCTCTCTTTCTCTCTCCCTCTCTTTCTCTGCGTGTGTTGAGAGGTTATTCACAGGAATATGTATGTATACATACCTACCAACACGCATACGTATGTATGTATGTATGTATGTATGTACTTCCCACTGTATAAAGTGCTTTGATGAAAAAGGAAATTATGTAGAAAAATTAACATATCTTGAGAAAAATAAAAACATTTTTCATTCTTTTTCATCATTATTGGTCATATTGATTGTCCGTTGTAGAAGGGTGTAACTTTTGCGACCAAATTCAAATTAGTGTGTAGTTATTTGTTTTGATTTCCCAGTAAAATTCTGAGTAGCATTTGAATATTGTTTATTGGTAAGTGTCATTTAATTTATTGGTAAGTGTCATTTAATTAAAGAGTAATACCGGGTTCTCCAGTGATTTGCAATGGAATCAAAATAAAATTTATCTTTAAAGCTAGTCTTATAAATAACACCTTTATGCATACATTTATGATTTCCTGGACAGGTGCTGTTTTTTCGACAACTGAACATTTCGTCTGTATTAATGTTGCTATTGAGGTTGTTTAACTATTTGTTTAATGTTATATTATTGTTGTGCTATATATTGTTGGAAGTTTTCGGTGCAGATGTAGCTAATGTTAATGTTGTTTTTGTTGGAGATTTTGTTTTGATTTCACAGTAAAATTTTGAGAGTGTTGTGGCATTTGTATACTTTTTATTGATAACATTCATTTTATGATGGTAGTACAGTGTCTTCCAGTTGTTTGCAGTGGAACCAAAATAAAACTTAGTCTCGCCATTATGTTTAATGCTAGCCTTATAAATAACTCCTTTATTCATACATTTATGATTTTGTGGACAGGTGCTGTTTTTTCGACAATTACAGTTTTTGTATATATTAATTTTGCTATTGAGGTTGTTTAAATATTTGTCTAATGTTATATTATTAGGTTGTGCTATATACTGTTCGATGTTTTTGGTGCAACTGTAGTGAATATATATCTAAACTAAATCACAAAGACTGAGAGAAAGTCATGAAGGCTGGGTTTAATTAATTATGCAGTAGTAATCTTCTTTATGTGCCGTGTCCATTCAGGACGTGAGCAATTATGGCCCTCCACAACTTTACGTGCCTTGTAGTTCATAATAAATTTTGTTATTTCTCCCAAACCCTGTTCTACCATCCATTTACTCAATCCCATCAACTAAGTTACGCGCTGCCTTTCTCTGTCCCTCTTTCCATCAATCTGTCCTGTGAGTATCAGATTTTCCAAGCCCTCTTTCCTCATTACGTGCCCCAGAAATTTCAACTGCCTCTTTATGATTTTAAGTATGTTTCCTTTTTGTTTCCATTTTTCTCTAAAACCTTGTCGTTGCTCACATGTTCGGTCCATGATATCCTCAGCATCCTTCTGTAGAACCACACCTGTTGCTTCAAGTCTCTTCTTCATCTGTGAGTATTCACTGCTATACAGGACAACAGATATAATGATTTCCGTTCTTTACTCTTTTCTTTGTTTCTAACAAAATTTTCCTGTCTCTTAATACTCTGCTTAGCTTTTAGAATTCATCTTTGGCTATTCCATTACGTCTTCGGATCAAACTCGAATAGTTACAGGCACACGTTTATATCTTTGTATATGCGTATATGTGTGCCTCTATGTATATGTGCGTGAATTTGTGTTTGAATGTGTGTCCTTGTGTGCGTGTTTGCGTACGTGTGTCTGCTCGTGCTTCTGTGGCTGTAGTTTGCAAACGTACGTGTGTATGTGTGTGTGTGTGTATACTTTAGTGCATCTGTGAATCTGTATATGTGTAATTGTGTGTGTCTACGCGTTTACCCGGGTGTGAGCACTTCTGTGTGCGGAGTTGCACTCCTGCATGTGCCTGTGAGTATACGTGTGTCTCTGTGTGCGTGTGTGTGTGTGTGTGTATGTGCTGTATGTCTGTACTTGCATGTGTGTTTGTCCTTGTTAACGTACGTGCGTGTGCCAGTGTTTATTTATACGAGTGTCCTTGTTTACATACGTAGGACATGTGTCCAGTTGCATGCGCGTTTCTGCACACGTATTTATGTGCGTATGCGTATGTGGGTTCCTGACGCGTATATGTGTGTGCACTTGTGTTTACGCACTTGTGCGTATGTGTGTTTGTGTGTGCCCGTCTTTGTGTATGTATATCTGTAAGCTTTTTTGTGTTGTGTGTGTGTGTGTGTGTGTGTGTGTGTGTGTGTGTGTGTGTGTGTGTGTGTGTGTACACTTTCGAGCATACGTGTGGATATGTACGTGCATATGCGCCTTCTGGTGTATGTGTGTATGTGCATGTCTGTAGGCCATTGTGCATTTGCACAATTATGTACGTGTACGTATGTATAGGTGTGCGTGCACTTTGTAAAAGAGAAAGAAATAGCAAGAAGCAATCACTTTGATCAGAGAACTTAACAAAAGCATCGAAGAACAAAATCGGTGCCAAATTTAGAATTTCAGACCTTCTTATTAAATAGGAAGCGGAAATCTTTTATTTCCAAGCTTTGAAAGGAACCCTTACCCCCAAG